GGGGTGGGGGCGGGGCGGGGCGGTGATTGGGGGGGCGGGGGAGGGGCCGCCATGGTATTCCCATGGTCCCCTCCTCCACCCTCCTATCCCCTACTTACCAGCAGGAGCTGAGGTCCAGCTCCCTGCCCTGGCAAACAGCATGCTTCAGCACTGGGGCGAGGGCCAGCCATAGAGACACTCTGGCTGGCTACCAGAGTGTCTCTGCGGAGGACTAAGCCTCTGGTTGCCTCAGAGCACAGTCTGGGTCTGTGTCCTGCCCCATTTTTTTCCCCCGTAGGTTTTTTTGTCCCCTGGATATCCAGGGTTCTGATTTTGCCCCCGGGCTGCAAATTTGCAGCGCAGGGAATGTTTTTTTCATTCCCACATGCACTTCTTGCAGTGTCTCAAAGGGCTTCAAGACACTGCAAGATGCACATGCACACTCATGTGGATGCACCCTTTCTGTGTAATGTCTGTCCCTAGCTCTGTTACCCAACACTGCCACCCAGATCCCAGGGCTGGGCCCCTAAGCCTGCTGCCAGCCCAGGGCTGCTCTACCCCAGCTTGAACTACTGTGGTTTCGGGGACATTGTGAAATCCTGTGTCTGGGAACAGTTGACTTCAGCACAAACAGCATTGGAGTTTATCAAGTCACATTAATTGCACATGTAGATATACCCACTGATAAATAAAACCATGGTACAGTGCCTTAAAGTTGTAGGATTTACAGGAGTCTTGAAAAAGGAGACAAAGGGCTATACAATGTGTTGCTGCAACTGGTATTTAATTTCTCATATTGATTATGCCATAGTACTATAAGTCACGAAAAACAATTCAGATGGCCTAGTAAAATTCTAACTTCAGTGGTTTATGCCAGATACTCTTCCATTAGATTACCATATTCTATCCTTTCTCTTACTCCTTTGATCCCAAAAAACAGTTTTGTTAATTTTTATTAAAATATGTGTGAGGACAAGGGCACCATTGTCAGACAGTCCACTGCATATTTTTCCCCCTGTTCGTCCTTGACAGTGCAGCCTAGTGGCTGTTTTAACATTAGTTCCAAGCCATTGCTATGTACTATTCAAGGGACATGGGAATATGAAAGCCATGGGTCATATAAGGAAAAAGTAGCATGCATGTTACAGTACCAAATCAGCTGCATACTGTTGATGTCTCTAGTGAGAATATTAGGGTGGTCTTGCTGTCCTGCTCTGCAAATAGGTGGTAGCATGCCTGGAATCACTACAGAGCTCACAACCTTGGATTTCTACTATGGAAGGTTTGCCCTGGGCTTCAGGGCAAAAATTTCAGGGGAGGGAGGGGAAGGCAAGTCACTAGGACATGTTTAAATATGTCCGTTACACTGCTAGATTAAAAAATCATGCTGCCTCAAGGACATGGGAGGGAGTGTGGAGGAGAAGCAGCTTTAATTATTGAACAAATAATAGTGACTCAGCTGTTAGCCTTTATTATTGAATTATACACAGTAAAAGCCTGTTCCCTGCCTGCAATAGTACTGCAGAAGATCATCCATTTTTAATTGTATTTCAGTGCAAAGACAACATCTTAATGGAGTAAGATGCTAATGCTAGTACATGCTAATCTATCAGTGTTGCTTCTGTTATGCTGTCTTTTAAATATGTGTTAGGGTGATCTGAATGTTTCAGAGTATAAAGCCAGATAGCATGGCAGACTCCACACTTGACAAGCTTGAAAAGAGAAAACCATTTCATCTGGTTGTTGATTAAAAGGACACCAATCTCATTAGGGCAACAAACATAATATACTGAAAAATTACTCCAAGTCACAAGTCTACCTCATTCATTTCTGTTTCCAAGTTAAAAACTAAGGTGATCAGGAAAAATTATCACAGAAAGGTCATAGTGTCCCTCTGAAACAGTGTCAGCATGGAACAAATGTACGTATTCCCGAGATCAGCTGCAAGACTAAAGTTTTACATTTGTTACCTCCATTCTGCCAAAAAATACACATAAGTGTAGACAGCTGTACAGTGTTTTCCTATACTTGAATTCATTAAAAAAAACAAAAACCTCTCCACTTTTTCTTCACAAATCTGTTTGGAATACTGAAATATTTCACAATTGCCTATAAATAGAAATCATATTACACATTGCTGGGAGAAAGTTATCTTCACTGATGAAAATATCTGTTAAACAATACACACAAACATTATCTACTAAATGTGGGCAGGTAGCAAAAAATGATTTAGTTGGACTGGAAAGAAAGTTTAGGTGGCTGGGTGACTGGATTTCATGATGGAATATGGCTGGGATACTGGGGTTAAAACATCCCTAATAGCATGAAAAGAGCAGGAAGACATCTTTAAAAACTAGAGGCAATCAGGGACTACCAATTAAATCTTTTCCAGGAAGTGAGTCAGCAATTAGATGAAATACTTTGTGTTATGCTTTTCATACTGTAAAGGTAAGTTAGAAAGCAACACAGCCTAAATGAATCCTTTTTGCAATACCTCCCTTCAAGATGGCAACATTTATTTCCTGAGTCTGGAACTCCTAAGGTATGCATAAATGGTACAGTATTAACTGTGTTAATCAACAGATGAGGCTCAAGGGAATAGGATTAGAGTGGAGCAATAGGAGTAATGTTTGTCCATCAGAAATGAGTATTTGGGTTGGTTGAAGTATTCTGAAAGTTCATTTTCAATTCATCCAATTAAATTTTCAACTGAGGAAAATGAAAAAAAAACAATGGGAAAAGTTGAACTCTATGGCTAGGGACAAAAATTACACATAAACCACTATAATGACTGATTGGAAACCAGTTCAAATCTGTAAAACAACAGAAATTCAGTGCGCATAACCTACTTTCAAAATGGCTGAAACTGGTTTAAGATAAACCTGGATGGATGTAGTGTCAGACTTAAGTGACTTAGGTCAAATCAGTTTACTGAACTTCTGTTCCAGATTCCCTCCAGATTCAAGTTAACTCATAGTTCCCCAGCATCCCAGGAGGCTTGGTACCTCCCCTGCAATCCCTCTCACAGGGTGGGTAGGATAGCCTTGGCCCAGCAGGGAGACATGCTCTAGCACCCTCAGGCTTCTGGCCTGGGCCACTGAAGACATGTGGCTGCATTTCTGGAACCAAAAGTGAATGTCTGTTCACTTGCTTATCAGTTCAATTTATGCAACTTAGACTAACCTATAAAGATTGAATCAATTCAGCCTCAGGATTTTTGACTGTCTGTACTTAGCCTACTTATTTAATCATTTTTAAACAAAATGTTTTGGTTTTCCTTTCATTTTTCAATTGAAAGTTGATATTTTGGCTCCAAAGTTACTTTAATTTTAAAAGTTTAAAACTCTCCAAAACTATGACCTCTCCCCACTGTTTTTTCTAGGCTTTTGTTTTGATGGGAAAATTTTAAAAAAATATTTGGGGTCAGTGTAGAAAAAATATTTCCCTCCATTCTTTGGTATTATATGGTACCCTCCTTTTACTGATCTATTACACTGTGCCCATAGATCTATCTGTTGCCTAAATCCTACTTGATAAAAACACCTTCTCTTAAGTACCTGCAGCATTGAGAGTATTGACAATACCTGCCTTAAATCCAAATTGTTTTATTTATTCATGGAAGTCTGTATGTCTTTTTAGTTTTTGTTTGTTTGACATTTAATAATGATATACCCAAAAAGTGGGTGGGGCCCTCTCATGAAATGCATCTGATCTTAAAAAGAGGGAAAGTCCACTTACTCTGCACTTCCTGGGACATGACTACATTGTAGTTGTAAAGCAGCTGCAGATTAGTGTAGTGTTGCCTAAATTACCCATAAACTATACGAATAGCAGTCCAGCCACAGCAGCTTAGAGCTCAAGAGCAACTAGAAGGAGAAACTGTGAGTCTGTTTCTGCAGACCCTGGGTCTTTCTGAGTGCATCTGCACATTCAGTTAATGAGACATTATAAACTCTAGAGCTGTTTCAGCCAGAGTCAGCGGCTCCCAGGTGCAGCTTTTGCACGTTCCCTAGACAGCAGCAGTTTGAGCTGGGGCAGAGCAGCCCTGGGCTGGTAGCAGGCTCAGGGGGTCAGCCCTGAGGCCCGCATGGTGGCATCAAGCAGTGGAGGGGTTGGCTGGGGCACAAGAGTGCTAAAGTGCACAGCCGTGTACAGGCAGTCCCCACACTTTCGCTTCCTTGTGCCCCACTCAGCCCCTGTCACTGTCCACACATGTGTTTCATCTTACTTATTTACTCTGCCATAAGATACTAGCACGCGTGTAGACAGTAACACTTTACTGTGACGCTAATTAGTAATTCTACATTAAAGTGCATGTGTAGATGCACCCTCTGGGCTTAATTTACATGGACTGGAAATTCCCAACCAAATGTTCAGGGTATTTCAGTGCATCATTGAGGCTCTTTGTGCAGCCCTCACAGGTTATTCATGTTTTAGGCAAAGGAACTCCAGAGGATTTTTTTATTTTAACTTGGAACTAAAAATACAGGCCACTATGCACGTGTCTGATTTTTATATATTTCCTTACTTGCCTTTATTTTTTGTAATTTTTTTTTTTGTTTCTAAAGTATACCATGCATCTTCCTAATCCTGTTTTTCTCTCGTTTGCTTTCCAGCATCCTCCTAGACGAAGAGGGCCACATTAAGATTACAGGTATGTAAAGAGCAGTGTGTGGTTACTGCAACTTGATTTGTACAAGCCTGCCAATCCACTGTACTGTGTACCATGTGTCACTTTCCCTCAAGCTGTGATCTTAGGTCACTATTTGGAAAAAGGTTGCAAGAGAAATTTAGGTTCAACAAGAGGTGGTACTGGTAATTCAGTAGGTGGCCCTTTTTCTTCTGGTCATTGCTTCATCCTTCACTTGCATGTAGTAGGGAAGTTTGCATTAAGATAAAATGTTGCAGGTAAAACTGCGCTTCTGACCATGACTTCCAGCTTCAGCCTTCTAGTCCATGAGTCCTTAAAACAACACACCTTCCCATTATGAATTTTAGTTCCAGATGAAATCTTTCAAATTGTTAGACTAGAAAAGATGTCATGAATGGAGATGTGTGTGTTGCATTGTGATATTATAAGGGTATTACTTCATGTTTGTCAATTTGTGATTATTATATTCTCCATGGTACTTTATTTGCAAAAAATCAGTTGTTATTCTCAGTGCCTAGCTCCAGTCCAGCTTGTACAACAACATTCTGTTTGTTTAAATTCTCTTTTCTATCTCAGGGCCATATCTTCAGGAGCAAGTGGGAAAATGATATCACCCACTCTATAGTGAACATCCCCCAAAGTGCATGTACTAGCTGGCAATATTGCTCACACATAACCATGTCCTGTGCAACCTCCAGCTTCCATTTTGGCATTTATGTACATGTAAAATATTATGTAGACAAACATGGCTTTCACATTCTTCATTTCCTGCTTTAAGCTGTTTCCTTTCTCATTAACAAAAAAGTGCTGTTTAAACTTAACTTGATCATTTCTGATTGTAAATCAAGACCTAACCAAATTCCTCTTTTTTTAAAACATATGTCCAGATTTTGGTCTAAGCAAAGAGGCCATTGACCATGACAAGAGAGCCTATTCTTTCTGTGGAACAATAGAGTACATGGCTCCAGAGGTGGTCAACCGGCGAGGGCACACACAGAGTGCAGACTGGTGGTCCTTCGGTGTGCTAATGGTAATGGTGAATTTATACTTCTTCTCTTGGTGGGAAAGGGGAAAAGCAGCTGTTTTGATTTTTCAGTTTAAGTAGCAACACTATCAGCAGTTAGTGGATTGCATATATGGGTGGTAATTGCTTGATCATTCTCATGGCATCAGCAATAGGAAACTAATTACTTCAGACATCATATGAGATGACATTTGGCCTCTAATTTTTCTCTCTTTCCTCCTGCTAATTCTCTCATAAAATGCTTGTTATAATTGATTACAATAAGCCATTATTATAACTGTAGCCCAAAAGAAAAAAGCAGGACAAGTGCAGAAAAATACAAGCACCCTGAGAACAAATAAAGTAAGTGTTTTGTTATCTACTGACTCGGTTCCAATGTGGAAGCAATTTCCCACAGTAGGAGCTGTCAGAAGGATGTCCCTGACCTCTCAGGGAAACCCAGCAGGACTCAGTTTCTGCAGCATTTAATCTAATGCTGAGCAGTACTGAGAAGAGAGAGATTTACATGTTCTTTGGTTTGATTTCTAATGATTTAGGTGTTCTCATAGGATCTTTCTTCATAAGAACCTAGCAGGATCAGTTTTTGAAAAATGCACCTTCAAAGAACCAAAGTGTCCTTGGCCAGGACTCCCTATTCCCTTCCCCCTTCCACTTCACCTTGTTTTTTGCCACCCACATTATTTTTGTGTTAATCCTGGAAAAGGTGATCAGCTTTGTACGTCACCACACTCCACAGTCCCTATTTGAGGAGACTGCAGCATAGCATAGAGATGCCTGGGCCAGCTTTTAAACTAGCTTAGTTTGCAGTAAGCAGTTTACTTACAGCAGCATGGAGTTCAGTGTGGGATAATTTACCCTGTTTCTGGGGTAAATTGCCCTCTTCATCTGTGTTTTGCTGTTATGTAAAAAGAGCACATTTTAGAGGGCATTCATTTTACCTTGGTAGTTCTGTGTGCAGTTGTGCTTCCCCTTCACTTTTCAGTTATTGTCTCAATATCAGTAAAACTAAAGCTTTCAAGTGCTAGTTTTGACACCAGACATGGTGAGTTTTTGTTAGTGGTCTGTGGGATTATCTGTCTGGAGTCATATTATTTTCTCTGCTAGAAATAGGCTGACAAAAAGTGTGTCTTCTTTCTTCCTCTCTCCCAATCTCTTATCACCTTGTTTGATTATGACCTCTTTGGATCTTTGCTTTCTTCTTACTGTTTGCTGAAGGTATTTCAGGATGAGGTATGGGAAACAGAATTTTAAAAATCACCAAGTCTCAAAAGAAAGAAATCAATTTAAACAGACCTGAGGAACTGCTAGGGTAGCAGGTATCTTTTGATCTTTTGCTTATCCTTTCAAATTGTCTAGTTATTAGGATTATGTCTGCCACCTATCACATAGTGGTCTCATACACAAGTGTATCAATTGGCTCAGAGGAAAGGGATTCGAACTTCAGTGGCAATTGTTTCTTACAATATATTGAACTAGATTATCAGGTTGAGGGTCATCTTTCTGTTGTTGCTTAAATATTTATTGCCTTTACACAACTGTTTAGGGGTCAGCTGTATAGACTGGATTCATCCATATAGAAGCTGTATCAGCTGACTTTTAAAACATGGAAATAAATGGAAAATAAGTGAAAATTAAAAATGGTTCAAAGTAGACTAACTTGATGTCTTTACTTCAATAAAATAACCAGTTTTTGAGGCAAAAGAAATGCAGTAGAATCAGTTTCCCTAGAATTTCATAAAGTACTTGATATAATCCCACATGGAATATTATTTGTTAAACCAGAGGGGTTGAGGGATTATTGCAAGTGTTGTCTATATTATCCGTACAGACTTTGAGGGTGGGGGGGTAAATAATAAGAATAGAAAAGAGTTGTTTAAGCTAAAAACCAATGTTGACACACAAACAAATGGATATAAACAGCCCTGAATTAACTTATATTGGAAACAGGGTTTCTATCCACTAGAGGAGTGAGGTTCTGAAATAGGCTTCCAATAAGAATAGTGAGCACAAACATTTAAGATGGAGCTCAGTTGGTCTATGAAAGATATTATGATATGGCTGTCTAAGTTATAGGAAGAACTAATTGATCTTGAGAAACACAATATTTGAGAATGGTTTGAAATGTAAGAATACAAGGTGCAAGATCACACACTTAGAGAATGATAATAAGAATTTATTCTAGAAGTTGGGAACTCAAATCACAAATGATTGAGGAAGAGAAATATTGGTAATCATAGGATATCTGTGAGGCACCAACATCATCCCCACTGAAATGTAATCTTGTAGCAGTCATGGTATTTCAAGTAGAGACAAAAAATAAAGTGTTGATGCTATTATAAAAGGCTCTAGTGAGACCTCATCTGGAACAACGTGAACTGTTCTGGTCAGCCGTGTTCAAAGCAGATTAAATGAAATTCAAGTAGGTGCAAAAAAGGATTACTAAAATGATTAGGGAAATGGGAAGTCCATTGTCATCTAGAGAAACAAAAGCTAAGATATAAGATATGATTGCTGTATACAAATGCATCAGAACGCTTACCACTGTGGAGGAAGAAGAACTATTTAAGTTGAAGAATGACATTAGCACAGGAACAAAAAGGTATAAGCAGGCCATGAATAAATTTACCCTGTAAATTAAAAGAAGGTCCCTACCCATTTGAGTAATGAGATTTTGGAATAGTCTTCTGATGGGAGTAAGGGGAACAAAGACACCTAACTAATTTTAAGATGGAGTTTGATAAATCTGTGAAGAGGATTATATGACCTGATGCCAGTAGTACTAGGGACTGGACTCATGCCCAAGGAGAGCCTTTCTAGTCCTGTGGACCTATCACATACCTGCTGTGGCAGACCAGTAGGTGGTGCTCCTGTGCTGAGCCACCCACCTCTGCAGCTGACCACCTTCCAGGCTCCAAGCGCCTCCCTGGGGGCACCTCACATCTGGCCGACCCCCTTCCTAGAGCACACCCACAAGCCTGGGGGTAATACTGCCACCACTCACGGGTCTCGGTCTGTTAGTGGCTCTGTGCCTCGTGAGGGACACAGGCTTTATAGACCTGAAGGGTACTCGACCTACTGGAAGAACTTGGGGTGCTTCCCTTAGTCTGAAGCACAAATAGTGGTCTCCCTTAGTCAGCCGGACCAAGGGAAGCCTAAGGCATAATCTAGACCCTCTCCCAATAAGCCTTCCATGCTAGGTACAGAGGAGAGCTGATTACAAGGAGTAGGTTTGGAAGAGGGCACAGGGTAGAGCAATATCAGAGAAATACCTTAGAGCAAATGGGTTGACTGGATAGCCTTTGATTACACATCTATGTTACTGTACGCTATGTATCTGGTTAGATTTTAAGGCGCTTACTCACAAGTATCATCCAGAAGCTGACAGAGCTTTCCTCTGGAGGCAGGCAGTTCATAGTGTGTCCATGTGTTTCAAGAGAGAGAGCAAAAGAGCTGAGCTACTCTCTATGTCTTCATCATGGCTGTCACCCCTTTTCCTGGGTGGTCTTTAACTTATATAGACCTGATAACCTTATTTACCTGATCCAGTGAAGGCCAGCAGTTGTTGGCTGCCAGCCAACCAATTTGAAATGTATCACTGGTTGCCAGGTAGACTTGCTGGGTCTTTAGCTCCCCTCCCAGTCCTGATGTTATTGCTTAGGACAATAGGGAGTTCAAGCCCCCTCCCCCCCCCCCCCCCCCCGGGCCTGCCTGCAGCCGCCCGCGGTGTGGCAGAGGGAGCAGGTTCCCTCCTCCCTCAGGAGTGTATCCAGCTCAGGTTACAACTCAGGGTTACCTGAAGCAGATAGGGGCAGGGGTGCTTGCCCTCTGCAGTGACCATGGTAACCAAATTGTCAGATAAGTAATAAGCCTGATAGCAGAGTTTGGGGAGAGACTGAGATGGCATTCTGCCACACCTGCTACCTAAATGATTTTTGCAGTTAAATCCAAATTTTTGAACTTCATTTACCAATTATGGTTTGCATAATTTTAGGGCACATTTTTGTTCCTTTATAAAATCATTCATTCTATCCTAAGAAACTTTCTGGCCATTTGGATGCAACTCAGTTCATATCCCCAAGTGATTTGAGGTATTTTTCCCTCTTCTCCTTCTCCCCCTCTCTTGCAGGGAACCCTTGCCCTGTTACTGAGAGAAGGCTGGGGGACAAGCAAAACCTGTGAGGGCCTTTTAAGAGTAGGGTCTCTGTGGCCTGAAGGGATAAGAATGCAGACAACAATGTCACTAGGGGAAAGCCCTTGGAGGCAAGCAGCCATTGGGGAAATGGAGACAGACTATCAGAAATCATCAACAACCCTGCCACAAGTGTAGTGAATCCAAGCAGGGCTGAAAGGGCTAATAAGGGACTACTGTGCTTGTGCCAAGTGATAGGATGGGTTTGCTGGAAGGGGAGGGACGTATGGTGTAAGATACTTGCCAGCGGGGTTGCTCTAGCTCTGGCTGAGGAAGAATAAAGATCTCCCAGGCAAGCTGTTGTAGAGCCAGGAGTTATGGTAAAGGCAACCCTGACATACAAAGGCAAGAAGCCACTTCTTTTGTTCTCAGTTCACCCAGGGTGGGGATAATTTTAATTCAGGTTATTCTTTTTATTGGGAGTACCTTGATGGGCTTCATTCTTTTGTTGTGATCAGCGTAGTAACATCCAGAGGACCAGTTTGTGGCTCTTGGGTGGTTAGAAGGCCATGCAGGGGCACCAAAGAGGCAGTTCAGGTTTGGCCCTACCAGGGTCAGTGTGCTATAGACAGAGAAAGAGGATAAGAGGGAGACTGGAGCAAGCAGCAATCAAAAAGACTAGAGCCTGAGGCCTGAGAAAGAGGCGGAGGCTAAGAAGCTGGGCCACAGCACGTGGGCCTAGGCTCAAGGCCTACAGCCAGAGTAACCTGTGGACCAAAGTGTAAAGGACTGGAGCCTGAACAGGAGAGTGAAGGATAACAGAGTGGCACTTTGTTTGGCATGGGTGTGGCTATAGGGAAGGATGGAGGTCATGACT